TAGACTAATACTATGGGACAAGACTGATGAGAAACCAGAGATCTGAAGATAAAGTACTGAAAGGAAACAGTAGATGAATATAGAAAGAAATACTGTCATTCTGGAGATAACACAACTTCAAAGATAGGCTTATAGAGCTCAGAGTCTGGAAAAGTATATGTTAACTGAAATATACTGAACCATAGTCTGCAGAACTGAGTTTGGATGCTTGTGTCACTACCAGATGGGGACCAGGAAGGAAAAGACTGTGCATTGTGTGATCTCTTTTGAAGCTGTTTAGAGACATCTTGGTCTGAATTCCTTGGGTGCAGTATACTTGTTCTTCTATTTAATGTATTTGGTCAAGCAGGTGAAAAAGAGGATCCCTGAGATCTGCTTTCAAAAGCAAAGCATTCAAAACATGTGAAAACACAGTCATTTTAATATAGGCTTTTGGCAGGTTTGTTCTCCTGCTGTTAAATGAAGTTGACCTTACAATCTAAGCTCACAAGTATTCTGTGAAGGTAAATTTGTCAATGCCTTTGAAATACTTACATGGTGAAAAACACAGGAAGAAAATAATTGCTTGTAATACAAATTCCGAAATGTACTTGGTTAAAAAGGCCTATGTACATACATTGAACTGGAAGATCAAAGCAGCTATTGAGATGATATTAATGAAGAAGGAGCTGTGAGAAGAACAAATGGGAAAAAAATCCGTGTCAGGACTGCAGCAAAAGTAAGCACAAGGAAGTGAAATAAAACTATATATGCTGTATATATAGTTACAGTTAAATTCTCCACTCTGTAGAACATAAAGTGCATATAAATACACACATGGGGTTTGGGAATGGGTTTTTTTTGGTTGGTTGGTTGGTGTTTGTTTGTTTGTTTTTTTTTTGTTAAGGTATTATTTGTGAAATCAAATTCTTATATGCTAGCAAATACCAGAATTGCAGATATTCATGAAAATTGAATCTGAAGAGTGAATTTGCCCCAAAATACAATATGGAAAAACAGAAAATATCCCTGTAGCCTCCTTACCAGCTGATGATGATTTTGCAGGCCTGCACAGTCTAGCACTTTAAGGGGCTGTAGCCCTTCAGTAAAGTTAGCTGCTCTGATAAAATATGCTTCTAACCCTTACTATTTCTTCTGTCGTCCTCTGTAGGGTTTTGTTGGTGGTAGTGGTTTTCTCATGTGGATATTCTCTAGTTTTTGATATTTTAGTCCCCAGTGAATTTCACAAAAAGAGGAAGGAACCAGAGAAACTGACAGCATGCATTTATTAAAAGAAGGCCAGCTTGGGAAACCATATTAGCTTCTTGAAGTAAACATCAATAGTAGATGACAAGAATAAGGGAAGAGATAGAATCTTTGTGGACATAAAGAAGTCCTTTCATTCTGTGCTGTTTGTAAGGATCATACATGGGGTTACTAAATGCATTACCAAGGTTACAGCAGTAACTTGAACACAGACTGAGAAGGAGGAGAGGTAGATTTTACACTTCTGAAGGACAATTATTTTTTATTGTAAATTTTTATTTTAATTCTTCTTCTTAAACTTCATTCATTATTTGCCAAAAAGCTTTGTTATTTGGGAGGAGAACTGCCCCTTGGATTACAGAAGCAGCTTTTATTTGTCTTGTGACTTTCTGTTCCGATTTGGTGAAATTTCAGTAGTCTATCCAAATTAATGGAGGTTGTGAGAACAAAGCCATAACACGTATACATCACTGCAATATAGCAAAGAATAGCTAAAGTGAAAGATGACAAGATATAGGGAAAGGGTGTGAGCTTCCCCCAAGAGCACAAGGATTGATCAAATGATGCATATCTCTCTCCACCAGAAAGGACTGACAAAATCCTGCAAAAGATAAGATAGATCCAGCAGGTACATTACTGCTTCACTGTAATTTCTCCAGCCTCAGAACTTTACACAATCTCTTCAAAAAGGAATGCAGAAATTGAGGTTGGGCAGAAAGAGCTGTAGTGGAAAGTGGGACTTTTCTTACCAATCCTTCAACTGGTAACTTTACATCTTTGGGTTGTATGCTTGGTATTTACCCGTTGTTGGGTGTTGCATAAGTTCACAAATTAATAATCCTTTAAAGAAAGTCATGTGAGAAGCTTTCAGCTATAGATATATATATATACACATGTTTTAAAACGAAAACAGAGGAAGGATGTTGTACACAATGCTTGTCACCACATTGCAGGAAATTGGGAAATAGCAGAAGTGACACAGAAGATGTCAGGTAGAATAACAGAGAGTTTATGGGCTATAGTGCTATGGAACACTGTTAGAACCTGGTATTAAATTGAAAAGAAGCAATTAAGAAGGGGTAGGTTGTAGACATATATAATTATTAGAGGATTAGAGGGAGCAGATACATAAAGTTCTTCAGGTGAAAGGTTCAGTAAGAAGAAAGCATGAATTATAATGAAAGATATCTCATTAAAGGTAATTATTATGTAAAAGAGGTAAAACCGGAGTCCTTTTGAGTCATTCTGGATTTAAAATACTTATGTAGAAATCTGGATCCATCTTAGAGAGCTATATTGGGCTTACCTAGCAAGGTTTTGATGATGGAGGGCTGCAAGTGTAGCCTCTCTGAGAAGACATCAGGAGCTGCCCTGATGTCAGACTCAGTTCTAGCTGGGTCCAACAGACTCACTGTTGCCCAAAGCAGAGCCCATCTGGTGCCTCTGTGATAACATGTTTAAGAAAAGGCAAAATCTTCTGTGCAACAGCTGTCAGAGAGAGGATTGGGAAAAATGGGAAAGAATCAGCCCTGCAGACATGAAGATTGGTGAAGAAGGAGGGGGAAAATGTGTTCCTGGCTCTGGAGCAGAGATTCATTCACCTGCAGTCCATGGAGAGCACCATGGTGAAGCAGATTGTTGCCCTGTAGCCTATGTGTCACAGCAGACATCAACACTGCAGTCCATGGAGGGTCCCACTGCAGAGCAGGTGGAGATGTCTGAAGGAAGCTGCATCCTGTGGAAAGTCCATGCAAGAACAGGTTTTCTGGCAGTAACTGTGGCCTATGAAGGACTCACACTGGAGAAGCCAGCTCCTGAACAGAAAGGACCCGTGCTGGAACAGTACATGTGTCGCATAGAAGAGACCCTATGCTGTATCAGGGGAACAGGGTGAAAATGAATGACTGGCAGTGTCATGGTTTAAGCCCAGATAGCAGCCCAGAGCCATGCAGCCACTCCCCACTCCCCTCCTTCCTCCCCCTGCTCCCGGAGGGATGGGCAGGAGAATTGAAAGAATGTAACTCCCAAGGGCTGAGATAAGAACAGTCCAGTAACTGAGGTATAACACAAATCACTGCTGCTACCACCAAGAATAATGAGGGTAATAACGAGGGAAGAGAATACAACCGGTCACCACCCACTGACCAATACCCAGCCAGACTGAGCAGTGATCTGCCACTTCTGGGTAACTGCCCCCAGTTTATATACTGGGCATGATGTTCTGTGGTATGGAATACCTCTTTGGTTAGTTTGGGTCAGGTGTTCTGTCTCTGCTTCCTCTGGCTTCCCCTCTTCCCTGGCAGAGCATGAGACTCAGAAAGTCCTTGGTCAGAGTAAAAATTACTGAGCAGCAACTAAAAACATCAGTGTTATCAGCACTGTTCCCAGGCTCAAAGTCAGAAACACAGCACTGCACCAGCTACTAAGAAGGAGAAAAATGACTGCTACTGCTGAACCCAGGACATCGGTCTATAGTGGATCTGGAAAACTTTAGAAAGTGAATATACAGATACTCTGTCTCTTGAAGGCAGGTAGTTCCAAACAAATTCATAAAAGACTGTTAAGAAAATGGTTGAAAATAACCACGGCTTAAGGAAGAGGGAGGTTAGAGGGAAGACGTATTACCTTTCCACACTATTTCACAACAGCTGGAAATTCTTCTGTTGTTTGCCAGACACCAGTGAGTAGGTCTACCCATTCGCTGGAGAATGAAAAATCCTTGGTGAAAATTCAGAAGCAAGTGTGAGAAATGTTTAGAATAAATGGAATAATTTGGCTGTCACATATATGAAAAGATACCAGGGTGTCTGGATGCATCATCACAAAGAGTGGTATGTTATACAGACATACTGGATTTTACAAGTTTGCAGAAACAGAAGTAGAGCAAATCACTGCCAAAAGGTTCCTATAACCTCTAAAGGGCCTGGTGTTATTAGCACAGTAGATAAACTTAGAATCAAGTAGTCTTTCTGGTGCCTTGGGTGAAATGTTGCAGAAGGAGGCTAGAAAAAAAATAATGAAGAAATAATAGACTCTTTAAAGGTGAATTCGTTTATGTTTCTTTTCTGATAGAAACTTTTCAATGGAACACTTAATAGCTTTCTGATCAAGGAAACAGTACTTACAAGTGGCAAATTCTGTCACTGTTAGCTCTCTCTTACTTCTTGTAAATACTCTCTGCAGAAGAAAAAGCTAGTCTTTGAAAATATTATTTATTATATTTGAAAATATTATTATATTGAAAATAATACTTGTTGGGTTTTTTTGTGTTTTTTTTTTTGTTTGTTTGCTTGGTTAGTTGGGATTGGCTTTGTTGGTTTTGTTGGGGTCTGTGTTTTGTTTTTTGTTTGTTTGTTTGTTTTTTATTTAGGGGACATGGAAAGCCTGAAGAAAATCACTAATGGATGTTGAAATACGAGTTTTCTTTTGCAGATGCAGAAGACCATAAATTTTGTCTATCCTGTCTTCTGAACTGTGTATTACAAGGATTGTCTGTTTCTATATATAATAATATATGGCAAGGTGGTTGGTACTAAGGAACTAATTAGTTTAGGAACTAATTAAGATTAGTTGAAACTAATCTTAAGGTCCTTTCCAACCCTAACTATTCTATGATTCTATAATTTTTTTTTATGATAGAAGACTTGGAAATGATTGTATATGTTCTTATAACACTATAGGTTCCATTTTGCTTTGCAAGCAGCATTTTTCTTACTAGTTTATCTTTAGCCTTTTCAGTTTCCTTTTGCTGCCAGCTTGGACAGAGAGGTGCTGACAAAGAGTGAAGAATCTGTTGATAGTAACAGTCCCGGACCTGGAGAGTCTCCTGCTCAATACAGGTGTTCAACAAGTGAGTTTGCAGTCTTTCATCCCGTTTGAGACACTCAATATGACTGAAAGACAGTACCTCACTGAAAAAACAAAATAGCAACTTTACATTGAGAGGCTTTCCCAGAACACAACCTGAAGCTGAGTAGCACAAGATTGAGCAGTAGAATGAGGATGACAAAGGGTGGAATATTCCTGCAAGAAGTTGCTTTCATAGATATTTGTATATATCTTACACTTTCTCCTTGCTCCCCCCCCCCCTTTTTTTTTTCTTTTTGTGATAGGGTAAATGATAACTTTTAAGTGTTTAGATTTTGATGGCACAGGAGAGCAACTTTCAAGGCAGGCTGGGAAAGCTGACGATTGTTTTAATCTTTAGAAAACTTAATTGTGGCATGCCAAAGGTGGAGGATGAATTAGCCATAGAGTAAAACCTAGAAGTTTTCACAGATGTCCAGAGTAAATGTCACTGCATGCTTGTGCTAGTCCCAGTGAGCAAGAAAATGTAGGTCTGCAAACCTGGGTTCATTAGAGCACAGTGGCAAAACCCCAGCAGGTGTGAGTACATCCATCACATAGCAGCAGCAGTGCAAAACAAAGCAAGAGACATGGCAAGAGGCAGGTAAACATATAAGTTCAGCTGTTTATGTCCCTAAAAGAGTTTGGTGATGAAACTGAAACATAACTGAATTTTGGATAGCTTTTTCATATCCAAAATACCATGGTCCCCTCTATATGCATATTTAGTATCAAAACCAGAATAGGACAAGCGAAGCAAAGGGTTTGAGAAGCAGAATTCAACAGAAAATAGGCATCAGAGAAATGATAAATCATATGGACAATACAAAAATTTGAGATTCACAGATTTTTTAGGTACTGTAACTTTGACAGGATAATAAATATACTTGCAAGACAAAAAAATCTGCATCAAATTTTGTAGGATACCTCTCTTATGACCTTAAGATTTGCTGACTATTTGCGTGTTTGGATTGCTGCTGGAAAGGGTTTTTACATCCAGTACATGAAGCAGGTACACTTTTCTTTCTTTTGATACACAGAAGACGTGCAAAATTTCCTGTTACTAGGCGTGTTATTATTACACTGAGGTAACAGTGAAGTCTTTGTGTGTCTACAGTCTTCTATGAATTTAAGTCCCAATAATGGTTTTAATTTTTTTTTTTTCAAAAAAGTTAGGAATATGAGCCTGTAAGATAAAAAAAAAAAAACAAAACTCACAAAAACTAGATGTTGTGAAAATGCAGTGAAACTTTAGCATATAACTTTAAAAGTCTTGTTCTCCTTTGAAGTCCATATCAGTGCTACTTGTTAGGCAAGCGTTAATATCAGAGTACATTTTTTTAAAGTAATAAATGTTTTAAGGAAACATTTCTTTTTTTTCCTCAAGTATTTGGCTCCTCAAACCAGATGATTTTTGGAGTGCAGAATTCAACCACTCCCTATTAAATGTAGGAGTACTGCTTGGGCTATTTCTCTTGCTCTAATCCTCACCCAGCTCCACACATACACAGCACTGCTGGCCTACGGCAAGCAGATTTTTAAACTTGTTCCCAAGGAGCTTGGTAGTAAACCTGCCGTCAGCCTGAACTATGTTGCTGTCCGTGGTACTAAAAATGTTGAAACGGAATCGTGTGTGCTGGAAGCGACCTTAAAGATTACCTAGTTCCAACCCCCTGCCATGGCCAGGGACACCTTTCACTGGACCAGGTTACTCAAAGACTTGTCCAACCTGGCCTTGAGCACTTCCAGGCATGGGGCATCAATAACTTCTCTGGGAAACTGGTTCCAGTGCCTCACCACCCCCAAAGTGAAAATTTCTCCCTAATGTGGAATCTAAATCTACACTCTTTCGGTTTAAAGGCATTCCCCCTTGCCTTACCCCTACTTGCCCTTGTAAAAAGTCCCTCACCATTTTTCTTGTAGACACCCCTTGAAGACTGCCTTAAAGTCTTCCTGGAGTCTTCTCCAGGCTGAAACCCCAGCTGTCTCAACCTGTGCTCCAGCCCCCTGACCATCTTCATAGACCTCCTCTGGACTTGATCAAACAGATACGCATCTTTTGTCTTATGTTGGGGCCCCAGAGCTGAACACAGGACTGCAGGTGGGTTCTCATAAAAGCAGAGAAGAGGGGGAGAATCACTTCCCCTCAACCCACTGGCCATGCTCCTTTTGATGCAGCCCAGCATATGGCTGGCTTTCTGGGCTACAAGGACACATTGCCAGCTCATGTTGAGATTTTCATCAACCAAAACCTCCTAGTCCTTCTCCTCAGGGCTGCTCTCAATCCATTCTCCACCCAGCCTGTATTTGTGCTTGAGATTGCCCCAACCCACATGCAGGACCTTGCACTTGGCCTTGTTGCACATCACGAGGTTGGCATTGGCCCACCTCTCCTGCCTATCAAGGTCCCTCTGCATGGAATCCCTTCCCTCCAGTGTGTTGACCATACCAAACAGCTTGATGTCATTGGCAAACTTTCAGTGGGATGACTTAGAATGTGTATATTTTGTGTTTTAAAATATGCTTTGCTACAGCAGACAAGATTTTGGATGCATTTAGAGAGTTTTACTTTTGCACTAGTTCACTTCCTTCAATAACTTTTTCTGTTGCTCCCTGTTTGTTTGGTGCTCCATTGGTCTCAGTTAAACAGTTCATTGTCTTCTCTGTAAGACATTTTGAGTTAAAATGAACATTCTGTGAATGTTCTTCTGAAGTAGGAAGATCCAAAATAAAAGTACCTTTATGCTGAGACTTCTTGTTCATGCACTGCTGCAAGGTTTTTGCTTGCTCCAATCTGTATTTTTATGTTACTTTCACTTATAACCTTCAGTAACAATCATAAAATACACTTCAATTTAGACAACAGAGTATTCTCAGGCAAGGATTACCTTCCCAGTTCTTAAAACATCACTTCCTCTGAAAAAAATCTGTGAAGATAAGGTAGCCAGCATCCAGCGATGAAAAGAAATTTTAAATATAATGATTGGGGCCTATACTTATTTGATTTTGATACTTCCTCTGATAGTGCTATGATTACCTCAAGGTACCTCATGTTTGTATAGAATAGGCATGACTATAACTGAGTAGGCAAAGAACCTATAGATTTATTTTTTTTTTTTTAGAATGGGAAGAAAAGGAATTTCTGGCTAGTGAAGAATGTAAGATACTAAAGGAAAGTGTATGTCATCAGAAAAAGGACTCAGAAAGCTGTTTCTCAGTATTTTCTCAGGAAATTGTCCCTGTATTTAGTCCGAATAATAGTAGCTGTCATACTTTAGACTACTCAATGTGATCAAAGAGCAAATACCTATTCCATACTTTAAACAGCATTTGTTAATTGTTTGTGCCTTAGACTTTACTACCTAAAGGCAGAATACTATTTTTGTTTCATGCAGCTAACTTTCACAGTAAAAATGACTAGTTTGCACCAGATGGTGTTGGTTTGTCTGGATCTCAATAAGAAAGGCTCGTATACTTACACTATATATGCTATACATACAGCAATATACTGTCAAGACTAATAACTATTTACTAAAAGCTTAGAAAAGGCAACAGCAAGTTATAAAATGTTACACTCTGTTCTGACACTGGGGACCCTTAGATGATGCATCATTGGATGGACTTCTGATCAGGGCATGGCATGTTCCACAGATCCCATCCATGGTGAAGTTCAACAGTTTTAGTTTTGCTCTTGTCCTTGTAGAATCTTGTTTACAGTACAGCATTTTCTGTTGGTAGGAGCAATCAAACCTGGAATGCTGACTTAGCTTTAGAGAGTCCTTTGGACTGTATGGTATAATATTCTTATCTCGTTAATAAAGCTACAGTTCTTGAAAAGGTGCATCTAATATTTCAAGTGGGCAAGACAACATTACATGCATACTTTTGATTAAGTACATATTGACTACATGCATATTGAATAATTTTGCATTGACTGTGTATGCATTGATTAAACTGTTGATTAGCTATGCCTTGATTAAGTAGCAGGCACAGAAGCATACACCTGGATTAGTCATTATGTGTACCACTGACTCCTCAGGCAGTAGTCTCCCAGGCTGACTGCTGCAGCACCAAATTTCAAATGCAGTCACATACAGAAATTGCAGTGTTCAAAGGGGACACCAATCTGAGCCAAATGAAACCTCTGTACCAACACAATATATTTTATAAGAGAAAGGACACTGAAAGATATATGCTTTTTCTCAGAACCCAGATAAATATAATACAGATTGCTAAACTTCTTTCTAGAAGGAATTGTTAAATGAGCCCAGTACTGAAAAACTTTAGCTCAAAGAAACTAAGCAACTACAAAGTGATCAAACAGTCCTAGTCAAATCATGTAGCTGTCTTCTCAACAATTTCTTGTTTGTTTAGCTTATCACAGAAGCTGCTTTCTGCTATGTACAACATCACATTGGTGAAGGTACTGATCTCTGTCTCCAGGCTAAATAAATAGAAACATGGAGCAGAATGTCACTAGCGGAATAGATAGAATTAAGCCCTCTTTCAACATGGAATCAAGTCTCAGGGCACTGCAGATGCTGCAGATGAAAGAATAATTTAAAAATAAAAAGGACACATTTGGGGACAGAAATGGCAGGGAATACTTCTCCTTTTTGTCCTATTAAAAAAAAAAAATTAAAAAATCAGGTCACAAAGATATTCCAGTGCAACAGATGGGTGAAACCAAGATCTGTTATGGATAATCATAACAGCAACGTAGGCTAGGCACATTAGAATAATTTGGAGGGTATATTTGCCCACAGAATTTGGAAGGCTTATTTACCTTTAGTGTTAGAAATCCAAATAGATCCTATGATTCTTTTACCTGCTTAGTTGAAAATCTTCATCATCGCACTATGAGCCACTTTGGGGTGATGCTCTCATTGAGCTGCACATATGTTCACTGCAACAGTTACTGAATTTCTAGTATTTGGACTAATCCTGCTGCTAACCCTCTTCCCAAAGAGGGAGTTTTAAATAACTGTGAGATTTGTATAAACTAT